CTACGCAGAGAATAAAAGATTAAAATGGGCTGGTTTCTCTGACTGGCCACAAAAGTCAATAAATTCATAGAGACAATTTAGGAAGCCAAGCCCTGTGGCATATACCTATTGTTTTTTTTTTTTTTTTTTTTTTTTTTTCTTTTGGCTTTTCGAGACAGGCTCTCTGTGTAGTTCTGGAGCTTGTCCCAGAACTTGCCAGGCTGGCAAGAGATCCACCTGCCTCAGCCTCCCAAGTGCTGGGATCAAAGGTGTGTGCCACCACTACCTGGCTGCCATATGCCTATTGTAACCCCAGCATTTGGGAGGTGAGGCAGGAGGAGTCAGGAGTTCAGGTCATCCTCTGCTACACAGAGTGTGAAGCAAGCCTGAGCTATTTAACATGTAAGACCCTTTCTGAAAAATCAAAGCAGAACTAGAGATGGCTTAGTGGTTAAAAGTACTTGCTGCATTTGCAGAAGATCCAGGTTTGATTCCCAGGACCCACAAGGTAGCTCACAACCATCCTAACTCCAGCTCCAGGGGATCAGTTGCCCTCTTCTGACTTTTGCAGGCACCAGGCATACACGTGGTATGCACATACATGCAGGCCAAACACTCATACACATAAAATAAACACATCTAAAAAAATAAAAGAACAAACATCACAAAGCAAAACAAAATGAAGATGGAATACTGAATTAAGGTCTTTGGGAGCTTAGGGTAGAATTAGAGATCAATTGGCTAGAGGAAGATTTTTGGAACTCAGAGAATATAGCCAGCAACAAGTCAATAATATCAGGGAGCCAGGAGGATTAAGAGGGGCAAAAGACTGCTCATACCCTCAGAAACATCTGTCAGTTGTGGAGTGGTGGCCCGAGACACAGAGAAGCCACCGCTCTCTAAGATAGAGGCCTCCTCATCTGACAGCTCGGAGTCTGTAATAGCCAAGGCCAGTGCTGTTTTCTTCACGTCCACCTGCAAGAGAACCAGGATGAATCCAAGTAGGCTCCCACCTACTTGAGAAGTGGTAGCTCTAAAGCAGTTAGATTCTCTTCCCTCCCTTTGCCTTTTTAGTGTTTGGAGATAGGGTCTTTTATAGTCCAGGCTGGTCTCAAACTCATAATGAAAACCAGACTGGTCTTCTTGATCCTTCTGCTTCTACCTCTCAAACAGAATTATAGTGTGAACACCATACCCAGCTTCCCTTTAGTTTCTGTCTGACACCCCATCTTCCTTGGACCTCACCACTGGAGAGAAGCCAGACAACTCTGCCTCGCTTTCACTCTCTGTCTCAGCAAGTGGCTCATCCCCTGCGGGTGGTGCATTCTTCCCTTGCCGCTCTAGAGAAGGGCAATAAGGAAACATGAGAAAGACAATGATGGGGGGTGAATATGATGAAGGAACTGGAAATGACTTAAATTTCAGGACACACCATGAGCCACAACCCTCAGGCCCTCCCTCCTTTTTCCCTCCTAGGTTAAAAGAAACCCTTACTCCTCTTGTCATGTTTGTGGTGCAGGGCATCAGCTTCTGCTTTCATGCTGTAGTCCAACTGCATGAGCAAGGGCTCCAGGCGAGTGTACATCCTCTGGATCAGTTCATGGTAAACCACCAGGGGCCACAGCAGGATACTCAGCACTAAGGGTTACAAAGTCCACTCAGAGCTCAGTATGCCAATATCTCAAGGGGCTTCATTTAAGCTGTCCCCTGGAAAGGTAGGTCTAAACAGAGATGAGATCCTTTCTCAAGGCAATGATATCCTTTTCCCCCCATTTGTTCCCCAGATGGGTAACCGACAAGGACAATTCAGTTTTTCCTTTGGGTCAATCCAGAGAAAGAGAAGAAAGGGCTTTGGGAAGGGCAGGGCTGGCCTCCACTCACAGACAATGTAGGAAATCATAATCCCTGGAACATAGTGTCCCAACACAGCTAGCACAGCACAGCCAGAACAGACTCGAGCACAAAACTGCAGAGAAGAGCACAGGGTCTATGAAAAACACTGGACCAAACCATGTGCCCAGTCACCGGGGGAGGAAACCATCATTCATGTGGTGGAAGAATGGACACTGCTCATATCACTCCTCTCCCATCCCCTCTGGCTCCAGGAACTGCTACAGGGTGAGGTTTACCTGAGCTGGATTCTGCCTCTTGTACTGCAACAGCTCTTGCAGGTGAATCTGGAAGGTGAGCCAGCTCTCAGCCAGGTATCTGCACAACTCGGGCACACTCAGCAGGTGCGGCTGGGCGCCTGACCCCGCACCCTCACTGGGGAGACATGACATGACCCCTGGGAGCCTCAGAAACCAGCTTTCTAAGGCACTAACATCACTTTGATGTTGCTGATGAGCTCGTCAATCTGGAGATGTGAACAACCCCACCTCCCCTAGAAGAGGTCACCCTAGTCCTGCCAAGCAAATTCCCAGGGTATTCAACCTTCTGCCTCCACAGGGAAGGCACATAGCATCTGCAGAGAAGCCTGGGCCTTCACACTTTTGTTTGCTGCAAGCCCCTTCACTATGCTGGGGCCTATGCCTGCAGAAGTGGCTCCTCTTTGAGCTGACCTGAACACAGCAAGCAGGCTACATTTGGGGGTCTTTAAAGATGGCCTGGCTGGTCAGTGATGGTTCACACCTTTAATCCCAGCACCCACGAGGTAGAGGCAGGTGGATCTTTGTGAATTGGAGGTCAGTCTGGTCTACAGAGTGAGTTCCAGGACCAGTTCCAAAGCTACACAGAGAAACCCTGTCACAATAGAAATAAAAATAAAGTGGCCTGTCCTCACCTGTCAGAGTGTGGTTCCTCAGGGGGTGATGCTATAGAGAAAAAAGGGGGGGGGGATAAATTAAGAGCGCAAGAGACACTGACTGACAGATCCCAAATCAGAAAGAGGTCTCTCTCCTCAGCATTCCTGTCTCAAATTCTCAGTGACCCTCCTGTCTCTCGCTTGTAGGCAAGAACCACAGGAGGCTTAGAGCATTTCCTTCATAAACCAATGCCAGGCTGTACTACATGTTGTTTCTGTATTCTTTCTTTCTTTTGTCGTACCTGGAATTGAACCTGAGGTAAACACTAGGCAAGTGCTGTACCAATGAGCTACATCCCCAATCCTTTTGGGGACAGGGTAGGCCCTGACCTTGTACCCCCTCCCCTTCGTCAACCTCTTACACGTAGCTGAGATGGCAGGCCTGTACCACCAGGCCTATCTTTGTCCGTTTCTTTAGACTTTAATTAAACCCAGGAGCCCACACTTTATTCCAGCCAGGTAGTGGTGGTGCTCATCTTTAATCCCAGCACTCGGGAGGCAGAGGCATGTGTTATCTCTGTGAGTTCAAAGCCAACCTGGTCTACAGAGCTAGTTCCAGGACAGCAAGGCTACACAAAGAAACCCTGTCTCAAAAAACCAAACCAAACCAAACAAATAAATATAAATTGTGATGACAACTCCTATCATGTTCTTTGTAGACACTCATTTAATCATGTTCCCGTGAAGGCCCTTCTTTTGAAATTCGTTACAAGGCTACACACCTGCTAAAGGCAGAATAGGGAATGTAACTCAGGTGTTTCCGATACAAACTCTACGGTCTTTATTTTTATTACTTTTTTGAGACAATGTCTCACTATGTAACTCTGGGTGACCTAGAACTCACCGAGACTTTCCGGCCTCTGTCTCTTGAGTACCGGGATTAAAGGCATGCACCACCACACTCAGCTCTAAACTCCAGTTTTGACTACTAAACCCACAAGAACGTTAATTTTGGGTAAGAGGGGCGTGGAGCATGCCTAGGAGGCAAAAGGCCTTGTTGAATCTTCCCTTCACATAGCAAGGTGAAGCACAACGCAACGTGCAGAACAGCGCGTGGAATGAAAAAACTCACCTGAAACGTCGGGGAGAAAGCGAGGATGCCAGAGATCCAGCAGAAAATAGGTCAAAAGTGAGATGCTGAGCAGGAAGATGGGTCGGAGGGACGACGAAGACAACAACCTTAGGGAGACAGGCATCTCAGCGGCGAGTGGGTGAGGAGGCTCCCAGACCCATCGAAAAGGGCAGAAAGGTCCTCTAAGCCTTACCCACCACCACCAGACTAAGAATTGGGGCAACCTGATGATGGATCACCTCTTGGGCGGCTGACAGCCCTCGAAGGGAGGGAGAGCACCCGGTCCTCCCGCCCCCGCTCTCCCGCGCAGCCCGGCCCCGCCCCCTCCTCCGCGGCCGTTACCAGAAGAGGCCGTTGAGTGCCGCCGCCGTGACCAGGCTGTGCAGCGGCTTCTCCCACACCAGCAGTCGCTGTGCGGCCGCCAGCACCGCCTCCCAGCCGCGGAGCCGCAGCAACAACGACGTGGCCAGGCGCCCCACCGCCTCGGCCGCGGCCGCCTCCTCCTCTGCGTCGCCCGTGGCTTCACCCATGCTGAGGCTCAGCCCCAAGCCCAGGCCCAGCCCCGAGGTCCCACCCGCGCCGGTGTTACCGCCGCCGCCGCCGCTCGCCATCACCGCGCCGCAGCCGCTGCCCGAGCCCGCGAGGAGCCAGGGCTGCGCGGCCGCCGCCGGGGGCGCGTCAGGCGGAAGGGGGCGCACGCCCAGGCGAGCAGAACCTGCGGACAAGCGTCACGTGATGGAGCGCGCCGTCACGTGACGCGGCCTAACAGCCCGGATGGGAGCCCCGCGCGTGCGCCAAGGCGGCTGCCGTGCTCCTGTCCAGACGCAGGTGTGCTTCTAGGCTGCTCCAAACCGTGACCCGAGGCGGGCGCTGAGGCTACGCAGCCTGCCGTCTTCTTCCGGTGTTGTCAGGGCGGCTGGGGAATCTGCTGGCGACCCGTATCTCCCGTGCGACTCCGCCCGGAGGAAGTGGGCCTCCAGGCGCCCGGGATCCTGGCTAGGATCGGCTCGGGAAGGGCGGCTGCATTCCCTTTACTCAATCCTCGTCGCCTCCAGTCCCCTCCCCTCAGCGGATAAACAAACAGCAGCGCGTGACTCTAAAGACTTAACAGCAGCCTCCCCGACATAGAAAAGTTGCCTCTTTCTGCTCCGATTGTCAGCGCTCTTTCTTCCCCAAATCTTTTCAGCGGCAAATTGGGTGGAAGGCGTGTTTGAAAATAAAACCTCATTTAGGTGCTGTTTACTTTTGGGAGATTCGTTAAGATCGTTCTTTGAGGTTCCATATCTTTTGGGATAATTTAATTGCTGGAGTAACCCTACAAAATACAGTATGCATTCGAGCTTTACCATTTCAAACTCCTAAGGGACATAAAGGTTCAACAGATTCCCTTCCACCTTGTCCACAGTTCTCACACGGGTAAGTTTCTTGTCCATCTTTCTTGTGTGCACTGCACCTTCCCTACTAAAACCCAGGAAACAACTCGCTGTGTCACCTCTTGTGTTAGTCTTGCTTTGTTTTTGTTTGTTTGTTTTTGGTTGTTGTTTTTGGTTTTTCGAGACAGGGTTTCTCTGTGGCTTTGGAGCCTGTCCTGGAACTAGCTGTTGTAGACCAGGCTGGTCTGGAACTCACAGAGACCCGTCTGCCCATGTCTCCCGAGTACTGGGATTCAAGGCGTGGACCACCGCCGCCCAGCCTGTCAGCCTTGTTAATATTTGCACCACGACCACACGGTCTTGCTAGCTCGTTCACCCTTGGAGCGTCCCGGTCCCCTGGGAACAGCAATCCAAAAATCAGACCCCGGTGCTTGGGGCTCCCGAGAGCTCCCAGCTGGGCGGCACTTCCTGCCCGGCGGGCTGACTCGTCGGCAACACGCCCGCCGCTTGTAAACGCCAGGCGGACGCTGCACGGGCTGAGAACACTTCGGGGCCTCGGACCTCTTCGTACTCCGCCTGGTGAGCGCCGCGCGGATCGTCGGGCGGCGCCGGGAGGCCCAGTCGAGCGCGGAACAGGAAGAGGCGTCCTGAGGCTGCCGGCGACAGGGGAGGAGACTTCGAGGACCCGGGCGGCGGCCCTCTGGGGAGAGGCGGGCAGGTGGGCTAACGAGGGAAGACAGATCTGTCCGCAACTTACTACTCCTTTCCTCCCCTTCCACCTTCACAGGGTGGTGGCCGACGGCGCCATGGACCTGGCTGGGCTCCTACTGGACGAAGAAGGCACATTTTCCCTTACCGGTTTCCAGGACTTCACGGTGAGAGACAGTCCTTCTGTCCTTAGGCTGGGGAGTCTGACCTGGGGGGGATTACCCTCCAGAGCCGAAAGGCATGGGAGCGCTCATACTTGCCATGCCTGAGACTGGGCGGCTACTGAGAGCAAAGCTTACTCAAGCCAGGCCACTTGGGCCTGGAGGCAAACCCTCAGGTTACAGGAAGGGAACTAGGAGTGATTAGGCTGGGGGTCCATCTGGTTTCTAGTTTTCTGGTCCTCTAGGAGCACTCAGTGATGACAGGGTGCTGTCTAGGCTGCCATTAACAAATGATCCCGGGAACTTGGGGCTGGGTGGGGCATAGGCCCAGTGGCAGCAAAGCCAACTTGGTGCCCTGTACAGCCTTTCAGTACCAGTCCAGGACTTCCTCCATACCCTTCCCTGCCCTTTACCCTCCACCATTCCTGGCCCTGTTTCAGTTCCTTCCAGGACACCAGAAACTGAGCGCTCGAATCCGAAGGCGACTCTATTATGGCTGGGACTGGGAGACGGACTGCAGCCTGGAGGAGCTTTCCAGCCCTGTGGCAGGTGTGTGTGTGTGTGTGTGTCTGAGCAAGTAAGAACTTTGAGGGCAGGGTTGTCAGTAGTCATCCAAATGCCCAGAGGTTGCCTTCTGAGCTGCACTGTGTCTCATAACTAGCTCAGTTAGTACGTGGTTTGATAATGTGGGCTGTGTTTCTCATTCACATTCTTTTAGCTCACGTGAGTAAAAACAGCTCATAAATTTTAGTCACTTATTTTTAGGGCCTTGTGTATGCTAGGCAAGCATTTTACCATGGAGCTATATACCAAGTCCCTGGGGTTTTTTGTTTTGTTTTGTTTTGTTTTTTGTTTTCTAAGTTATTTGTTGTTGTTTCCCAAGTAAACAAACATGTTTCTTAGATGAACATTTGTGAAAGATAAACATGAATAAATCAACAGAAAAACAAGCTTGCCTACTGGAAAAGTCTGAGACTCAAGCTTTTAGTGGGCTTTTATTACTTAGAATGGGGGGGTATGATGGGGGAAATCTAGGGCTGAAGGGTTGAGATAGTGTCTTACTACATAGGTCTGGCTAGACTGGAACTTGTAGATCAGGCTGGCCATGTGGTGATTCAATCCCCTGCCCCTGTGTCTTGTTTATTGGGATTACAGACACGTTTCACCATGGAAGAAGACATGTCATATCCCTACAGCCTCAGATACTATAGAGCTAGTCTTCCCGTGGCAGTTGTGGGGACTTCTGTGTATGCTGAGGGTTAACTATTGTGCTCTCCCATCTCTTGCAGACATCACTGTGGAGCTTCTTCAGAAGGCAGCACCCAGTCCTATTCGCCGACTCCAGAAGAAATATGTAGCTCATGTGTCCAGGTGAGCCTGGGACTTTGGAGAGAGTGTGTGTGTTACTGTCTCTAAAGAGAATGTGTAAAGACAGATGAATAGCCAGGCGTTGGTAGCACAGGGCTTTAATCCCAGCACTCAGGAGGGGGAGGCAGGTGGATCTGAGTTCCAGGCCAGCCTGGTCTACAGAGCTAGTTCCATGACAGGATCCAAAGCAATACAGAAAAACCTTGTCTCGAAAAACCAAACAAACAAAAGAGAGAGATGAACATCTTGAGAGTTTTAATAGCCGATGCACCCTTGGGTTTAATTACTGATCCTTTCTACCTCCCAGGGAGGCTTGTATCTCTCCTTGTGCTATGATGTTAGCTCTGGTGTACATTGAGCGTCTCCGGCACCGAAACCCAGACTACCTGCAGCACGTGTCATCTTCTGACTTGTTTCTGATCTCCATGGTAAGCTGCCCCCTCCTTTTATCTCCCTAGTGAGCCAGGTGCCAGGCATGAGCTCCACTGATGCCACTTCTGTCTTCTCCACAGATGGTGGCCAGTAAATACCTTTATGATGAAGGGGAGGAAGAGGAGGTCTTCAGTGATGAGTGGGGAGCTGCTGGGGGAGTGGCTGTGCCTACTCTCAATGCCTTGGAAAGGGGCTTCCTGAGTGCCATGGTGAGTGGCTCTTCACTTACTTGTCTTTTTATTCCTTTATTCTTTATTCTCTCTCCTCCCTCTCTCTCTCTCTCTCTGTATACATGTACAAACCTTCAGTGTTTTCCCGAGGAACTGTCTACACCTTGCTTTTTGAAATAGGGTCTCTTATTTAGCCTGGTACTTATGGATTAGGGCAGGCTGTCTGGCTGACCAGCAAGCCTCAGGGATCTGCTTGTCTTTGCCTCCTTAGTACTAAGATAATAAGTGCATGTCATCATACTCCCTTCTTTTATGTGGGTTCTTGGGATCTCAGTTTCTCATGCTTGCATACGAGGTCTTTACTAATTGAAGTAACTACCAAACTCTGTTTAATTTTTATTTTCTGCCAAGTATGCTTGTACATGCCTTTAATCCCAAGCAGATGTCTGAGTTTGAGGCCCAGCCTGGTCTGTTTCAGGCAAGTCAGGGCTTCATACTCTCTCTCTCTCTCTCTCTCTCTCTCTCTCTCTCTCTCTCTCTCTCTCTCTCTCTTTCTCTCTTATTTTGTTTTTCCAAGACAGGGTTTCTGTGTAGCTTTGGAGCCTGTCCTGGCACTCACTGTGTAGACCAGGCCTGCCTCTGCCCCCCCCCCCCCAGTGCTGGGATTAAAGGCGTGTGCCACCACCGCCTGGCCAGACCCTGTCTCTTACTAAGTAAATTTTAAATTAGAGTGTTCTACAACTTACTATGTAGACAAGGCTGGCCTTGACCTTGTGATGAGCCTCTTACTGCTTTTGCTTTTGTCTCCCTATGCTGATTGTAGGTATACGTATTACACCTGGCTTTGTGCGTCTGTCCTTGTGTCCTTGTGTGGCAGGGTCCTCCTTTCCTGTCCTCCCAGGACTAGTCTGGAGGCTCCTGGAGTAGTGAGTGAGTCCAGAAGTAACATCTCACCCTCTTCCTCCAGGGCATACTGAGACAGACCCTGTAGTGTTGACCTCTGAATATTTGCTTTCAAACTTTTTGTGCCTTAGACTTTGAGCTCCCTGTGGACACTGACTATTCTTGGGTTTATTTTCTCCCTTTGTACTTTGTAGAAGGGATAATTAATTCATGGTCAGGAAAGTGGTGATTCCATGATAGAATACACACAAGCTCTTTGGATAGTAGTCAGCACATCTTTTCAGCTGGTGGTTGTAGCTGCTCTGGTCAGGTCACCATGGTCTGTTTGTATCTGAGCTTAACTTTGTTTTCCCTGTTCTTATTTATTTAGGGGTTTTTGAGATAGGCTTCACCATAGCCCAGGCTGGCCTAGAACTCACTGTGTAGCCCAGAACTGCTTCAGCCTCCCAAGTACTGGGATCATAGGGATGAACTACTGTGCCTGTCTTCTTTTTGCACACAGGATTGGCGTCTCTACACTGATCCTCGGGAGATCTTTGAGGTGCTGAATTGGCTGGAGAGTTGGTGAGTTCCCAGCTGGGGTTTAGAGGTGTAGGCCAGTACCTTAGGAGTTAGAGGTGAGATTTGTGTAACTTAGAGAAGAGGTCGTTGCTTAACTCTTCTGCCTTCCTTTGGGGGTGGTAGCAGCTTCTGTGAAGTTTAGGTCTTGGTTTCATCTTCTGGATTAATGGGTAACCTAGAGATTTGTGTATTTCACCAACTCCTTAGTATCTTCTGATGGGTACCCCTGGGCTTGCTGCAGGAGAGTCCCCAACCCCTACTCTCTTCTCCACACTAGCGTGGCTGAGCAGCAAGGACGTCGGCGGGGCTGGTACACCTACACAGACCTGTGTGTGCTGCTGGAACAGCCAGCATGGCAACTATCTTTGGGCTCCCTCTGCCAGCGGCTGGTAAAGGTGAGAAGGGGTTAGGAAGGAGAGGGGCTTGAGCAGGCTCACACGTGTGTGTGTTGTGTGGTGTGTGTGTGTGTGTGTGTGTGTGTGTGTGTTGAAAAGCAAATCCAGAAAGGCTTAGGAGAAGTTTGAGAGTAGATGGGGGAACAGGGGAGGCAGAGGGAATTACAGAGAGCTTCAGTGTGAGAGATTGGCAGTGGGGAGTAGTTAAAGATAGTCAACAGCCTGCTGTTTTCTTATCTTCTCTCTTGCAGCTGTCCTGCCTGTTAGCTGTGGCGTATGTGAGCAGTGTGGCCCTAGCTGTGGCATCAGTGGCTGTAATACACCAGTCCTTGGGCTTGTCCTGCAGCCCCTCACCAGGTCCTCCTGACCTCAGACTGGTTTCCAAAGGCCTCTTGCAGCCCTGCATACCTTCCTCCATGCCGCAGTGCCTGACTAATGTCTCCAGTTGCCCAGAAGACAATGTAGAGTTACCATCACTCTGGGGCAGTCTTCTGGCTTCACTGACACCCCCTCCAGTACCTTCCCCAGACCCTCCTGCCCCACCTACTCTTGTCCACAAATGTCCCTTTTGCCAGAAGTTGCAGAGAACCCTCCCAAACTGCCGTGCCTGCCACCAGCCTAACCGTACGGTGTCTATTGGTCCTTCACGCCACTTTTACCATACCCATGGCCTGGCCCCGCCCTGGCTGTGGAGCCCAGTAGCCCCTCCATTCCTCCAACCCCAGCAATGTTCCCTTTTTAGTGTCATGGAGCTGGCCCGTCTCAAGTCTTTCATTTTCCCAGGCTAGGTAGGGCTCTGGGGAATGCATTAAGAGGGTTTGGGAGTCTCTAAGAACCTAGAAGAGGAAAGCTTGATTTAGATTTTTCGCTACCTTTCTGGGTCCTTGGCTAGTCTGTTCTTCTAGGTAGGAGCAGAAGGGGTTTTGGAGCAAAACAAAGTCATTCACCCTCTTAAACCTCAGAGGTTTCGACAGTGATGGTGCCAGGGACAGTTTCAGCTCAGTGGCCAGGGGCATGTCTCAGATGACAGAGAAGCACTTACCTTTCTGCCTTCTCAAGCCTCGGGTGGGAGGTAGACTTTCGCTTTTGAGTTTCCAAAGATGGAAAGGTAAAAAGGTGGGAGGTGTGGGAAGTGGGTGAGGGGAGGAAGAAAGTAGTCACGTGGTTCTGTTCATGCGATGTCCCTGGGGCAGGAAAACCAGGGACGGATGGTACCAAGATGGGAGCTGCTGAGGGAAGGCTTCCTGAGGCAGCAGCTTGCCACATCCATCCCTTGGATGTAGTTATCACAGCCAAGGATTGTTGGGTCCTTCAAACTTGTACTTTTGTCTTCCATCCTTAGCATCCTGCTCCAATGCTCCCCACTCGACTGGTTCTTTTTCTAGGTGTTCTCTTTACAGGCCTCTCTGGGTACTACTGCTTTGTATCTGAGTTTTTCACGCTTTTGTAGAACTGAGGTTTCAATAAACAGTTTGTGTTGCATGGCCTGGCCTTTTCCTTCTGCATCATCCTTTGAGATCTCCCATCTGTCTCCCAAGTCAGATGCACCATCCCAGCAACGTGTAAGCATTCTCTTCTGAGCTCTGTTTCAAATCTTCCTGTTAGTTTGGTAGTTAATCCCTGTTTCAGGCTTTCCTGCATCCCTGCTGCTACTACCTCAGGGGCCCTGAAATCGATGGATGTGGCATATCATGGGTACCTACCATGATGACTGTCTCGGGGTTGGGAAGACCTTGTCTGTTGTTGCACATCCTGGGTGGGAATCAGCCTTGTGGATCCTTATGGTGTCAAAACATACCCAGTTTGAGCTCCTAGAATGCAAGCCCTGCTTACTTCACTAAGGTGACTCATGGAAGTAGCTGGTGTTGAAGAACCAGAGCTGGGTCATCAACATCAATGGAAGAACAATCTATGTGTTTGGACTGCTAACTGCTGAAGATCACTTAGGGAGTGTGGGGGGTAGGAGTAGAGGTCGGTGGGCTGGTGGGTGCTGCTGCCCTCAAGGGTCATTTTGGACATGGGATGCTAGTCACCCTAGAGGGCTTGAACGGTTCCCAAGATTTCATCATGCATATGAAAATCCTGATTTTTTTTTTTTTTTTTTTTATGAGCCTGAAGTTAGCTGCTGTTGCAAATGGCCTCACAGGGTTCAGGCTGATGTGGAATTTGCTACCCATTTATATCTGCCTTCAGAGTGTTGGGATACAGGCATGTGGCACCATCCCTAACCAATTTGAAAGTTATTTTTTTAAGTACAAACGTGCAACATTTTGTGTGTTTTGGAAAATATAAAAAACAACCCGGGGACTAAAACCTACACAAACACAAAGAAGGGATGCTGGGAATGAGAGTCTTCCACAGGGAATAGCATACCAAATGGCTATCCAATACCAAATGGTGAGCTCTGGAAACATACCTATGAGTAACATTATGCAGACTGAGCAGGTCATAGTAACATATATGTGTATATACATCTACTCATGTCATAACAATGAAAAAAGGGACATTAATTCGAAAAATGAGATGGAGGGCTACATGGGAGAGTTTTGAGGAAAGGGGATGCAGAAATGATGTAACAATCTCAAAAATAAAAACCTCAATTTTCAGAGTTATACTTCTACGGAAAGTCAATGTATTCTTTGCTCAGTGTTTTACCAAAAGTATGCTCACTATTTTAGAAAACCAAGTCACCAATGTCAGCATTGCTCTTGACATCTGAATTACCAGTAAATGTCGTTGGCTGGCAGTGTAGCTATCACATCCTATCTATGGGTGTGGCTGGCAGACTGTTCCATTGTCTGGTTTATTCGTACCCAAGCTTTTGAAATACACATTACTATTAATTACTCTTGCTTTACAGCGAGTGCATTATATGTAGTGGTCATTGTCATATGCAATATGGGCATTTTATGCATGAGTTTTGTTTTGAACTGATCCAGGGCATGTCTTGTTTGGTTGAGGAATGTGTACCTAATAGATGATGCTGAATGCTGCTGATGAAAAGAGGTAGTTTGCAAAATTTCTTCAGGCTATTTTGATGTCTCCCCTAGCCCTCATTTCCAGAGCCTGGTCTAGAATCAGGAGATAGGACGAAAATTCTTGAGGGAGGGGCCCAGAACTCAGCTGCTAGGTTAATGGCTGATGGAATTTACTCAAGAGCTGGGCAAAGGTGAAAGAGCCATGTCCTGCTCCCAAACCCTTATTCCCCTCTCTCCGCTTCATTGACACCCCCACCCCCTCCCCACGGCAGCCAGAGCACTCCACCCACACTCTGACCTCTTACTTTACTCAACTACCCCTGGGGCCGCCAAGACACAATCAAGTCAGGGCAGCATGAGCCGAGCACCTCCCCACCCTATCCCACTCCTGTCTGTGGGCTCCCAGGATGCCCCTGCTCCCCTGTCACCACGGCTGCCCCCTCTGCAGCATCCCTCCTCCCACTCACGGTCCTCTCGGTGTGGGCCTTCCACCTGGGGTCTCGGCTGTCTTCTGGCTCTACAGGTAGGAGGCAGAGGTGCAGGAGCTGGTACTGGCTGAGATGGGTATTTGGAGGGAGAGGTATTTCTGAAGCTCGGCCCTCTGCGATCCTCTATCGGCAGCATTTCCTGGTCCTGGCATCTCTGCTCTGTGCCTCCCACCTGCTGCTGCTTCACAATCTTCCCCCAGGAGGGCTCTCATACTCACCTGCTCAGCTGCTGGCTTCCAGTTTCTTTTCATGTGGTATGTCTACGGTCCTGCAAACTTGGATGGGCAGCAGGTGAGAGGAACTCCTTTGAGACAGGGAGTAGGCTTCCAGAAGGAGACTTAAGGGAATCCTGTTAAGAGTCCATGTTTCCAAACCTGCTGGGGCTGCTATTCATACAGGCTGCCTCTAGTCCAGGCTCCATCCTTAGAATTCCTTATCCCTGCACTGGTGCTGACAAACCAGAAGCTACCTCTGACCACCAAGACACCTGGAAATGGTGAGTACAGAGTAAAGGCAGGCTAATGGTGGAAGTACATGCTGGCTGGAGGTTGGGCAGTTAAGTACCGGGTATTGTAGAGAGAAGTCTTTGGGGTCATACCAGGCATCAGTTAGGACAGGAGAGTATTCGGTCTTCGTTCCATTTACACCTCTCTGTACCCCAAACTTCCAGCCTCCCTCTCCCTGCACCTGTGTAGTTTGACAAACTGCCATGGCCTGGAGCTCTGGAACACTTCTCTCCGAGAGGTGAGTGCCTGGGAAAAGATAGCAGAAGGACTGAATGGTCCCAGCGTGGAGATGGAGATGCTCTTATTTCCATTGTGCAGACACTGATGCTATGGGGGAAGGAGCAAGGCAGGAGCCTATCCTTGGAATTTGTTAGAAATTCCACACTGGGACTGGAGAGATGGCTCAGTGGTCAAGAGCATTGGCTGCTCTTCCAAAGGACCCAGGTTCAATTCCCAGCACCCACATGGCAGCTTACAACTGTCTCTAACTCCAGTATGTGATACCCTTACCCAGACATGCATGTAGGCAAAGTACCAATGCCAACGAAATAAAAGTAAATAAATTGCAAAAGAGAAAAAGAAAGGAAAGAAGAGAAACTCCAAGCTGAAGTTAACTTGATTGAGCAGAAAGTCTTCCATTCATCCTCTCTTCTACTCCATCAGGTGTCGGGGGCAGTGGTGGTATCCGGGCTGCTGCAGGGCACAATAGGACTTCTAGGGGTGCCTGGCCGTGTGTTTCCCTACTGTGGGCCACTGGTGCTGGCTCCCAGCCTGGTGGTAGCAGGACTGTCTGCCCACAAGGAGGTGGCCCAGTTCTGTTCTGCTCACTGGGGCCTGGCCTTGCTGTAAGTGAGTCCTGAGAGGCGTGGGGTGGGACCCAGTGGGTGTGCAGACCTGGGGAAGACAGAGCTTCTGGCTTATCAGATTCCATAGCCACCTGAGTAGGGATAGCAGGTTTTAAGTTTGGAATATGAGGCTTTTCTCCAATTCATCCAGTCTCCCTGATATTCGACCCTCAGGGTACCTCCCTATGCTTTCCACGAGGAGATTCTTCCCTGGGACCTCCTTTTATGATATTCTGCTCACCTGTGCTGCCGTCATTCATGATCTGATGCTTCAGACCCACAAAGCTCCTCTCTTCCCTAGGCTCATCCTGCTCATGGTGGTGTGTTCTCAGCATTTGGGTTCCTGCCAGGTACCGCTGTGCTCCTGGAGACCCGCTTCAGCTTCTTCAACTCGCGCTTATATTCCTGTCTTCCGACTTCTTTCGGTATGTGGGGGCTCTGGGCAGATGAAGTGAAAAGGGTTGACAGACGTGCATAGCCAGGTGAGGTGACACACTTATAATTCCACACTGGGCAGGTGGAGGCAGAAGAATTCAGGAGTTCAAGTTCTGCTGTTTAGGAAGTTTCAGCCCAGCCTGAAATACATGAACAACAACAAAAACCAAACCAAAATGAAACATGGGGTCTTCCAGAGGACTGGAGGACCCCATGATACATGTGGGTGGGTGGCTAATAATTGCCTGTAATTCCTGCTCCAGAAACCAAGTCCTTCTAGCCTTCCAGCATTGCCCCCACCCATGCACAAATAAAAGTAAAACAGTTGAGCCAAGCATAGTGGTGCATGCCTTTAATCCTGGTGCTTGGAAGGCAGAGACAGGCAAATTTCTGTAAGCTTGAGGCCAGCCTGGTCTACACAGTTACAGGACTGCCAGGGTTACTTAGAGAGACCCTATCTCAAAAATAGGATAAAATCATTGAAACAGACAAAAGTGTGTGGGACTGACATGGAATATTCTATTGGTCCCTACTTCTGAGTTTCTAGTGGTCCCACCCAGGCTGACTCAGAAGGTTCTGGGGAGGTGGGAGCTTTTTTCCATCTCACTATTGTCCTTCAGGTGCTTGCCCCTGTGGCCTGTGTGTGGATCATCTCTGCCCTTCTGGGTCTGAGTGTTAACCTCCTGCATCTGTCTGACCCCACAGAGGCACCGTGGTTTTGGCTGCCTCACCCAGGTAGGTTTTCTCCTGCGTTCCCATCCTGTGTTCCCATTCTCTCACTCAAATCAAGGCGTCCCTTTCTTTGAACTCACAATTTAATAGACTTCAGCCAGGTGAGGTGGCACATATCTGTAATCCCAGTACTTGGGAAGTGGAGGCAGGAGGATCAGGAGTTCAAGGTCACCTGCAGCTGCATATCGAGTTTGAGGCTAACCTGGGCTACACGACACCCTGTCTCAAAGGAAAAGTTACACAAAAAGATTCAATGGAGCTCACCTCTCCCTTTGGAATTAAATCAGTGTTTTCTCAAAACACATGTGGAGAAACTGACAACGTGAGGGGTTGTGCCCCCCTTCAGTGCAGGTATATTATTTGGGTCAATGTCAGGAGACGTTATACCATGTATACTCACTCCTGATATCCCTGACCAATTAACAAGTTTATATTATCAGCCTCTGTGGAGATTTCTGCAGTTCCTGCCTTGGAGTCAGTGGATGTGAGATTTTGTCATTTGTGTTTACTTGTCATGGTGGTAGGGGTCAAACAACTCCAAACCTTGTGCATACTCAGCAAGTGCCTTACACTGAACTCCACCTCAGCCCTTCATTTAACAGTTTAATAATGGCCCGTTGAGTTCTGACGAGGCCCTAAGTACATCGTAGGCACAGAAATGAATACAGGACTAATAATGTCTGCTCCACGGAGCTGACGGTCTATTTGGGGTATATTGATAGGAATCAAATGAGCACCTAAGTAAATGTGAATTTGTCATTGTAGTAAAAGTACCTAAGTAAAACTAGAATTTATCATGAGAGAAAATAATGGGGAATTTGATGCTGTTATAGGGGTTGAGAGAAGTTTTTTTTTTAACTTCTTTTTTGAAGTGTTCTTCTTAAATGTATTTTTTTATTATTTCTTGACAAGTTCCATACAATGAATTTTGATGGTATCCAATTCTTCCACTGCCCACAACACATCCCCATTCCATCTTCATGTCCTTTAAAAAAATCGACTCGCTGAGTCTGATTAGTGCTGCCTATATGTGCATGGGTGCGTGCATGGGTGTGGAGCTATCTTACACCTCTGATGAAAAATGGCTCTCCCTTTGCCCAGAAGCTATCACCTAACATAGTTTCTCAGCTAGCGGTGAAACCACATGAGCCTTTACCCCACTCACGCTTCTGCGCTGGAATCTTGACTGGCTTGATCTTGTACAGATCTTTGCAGGTAACCATAGCTGCTGTGAGTTCACTGAGTGCAGTGGTCATGTCCTGTCCTGAAGACAGCATCTCATGGCACTGATCCCCATCCCCCAGTTCTTACATTCCCCCGCCTTTTTGGAAACAGGATCTCACATTGACGAAGTTGACCTTGAACTTGCATTGCAGTCAAGGATGGCCTTAAACTCCCTGTGCCTTGCAAGTGTTGTAATTACAGGGATGCATCACCACTCTTGAATGTGGTGGGAGAAATAATCCTTGAAGAAGTGAGATGAGATGTAAGAGGTGGGGAGAGGAGGAGCTAGTTGGACAGGACACAGGAGATAGCAGCTTGCTAGGTAAGCACCACATGCAAGGGCCCTGTGGTAGGAGCACAGCAAGTCTAGGGCCTAAAACAAGGCTAGTGTGTTTGAAGTGAAGTGGAAACAGAACTGAGGGTCAGACCAATGGTGACCTTGTAGAAGACAGTGAAGAGAAGGGTCTCTCTCCTAGAGTTCAGTGGTTTTGCCTCACAGCATTATCCTGAAAAGCTAGATCATCTGGGATTCTTGAGGAACAGGCATTTAGAGGCAGAGGAATGCTCCAGGCTTGATTCTGGTCTCTAGATGACTCCTTCTTCTTCTTCAGGTGAGTGGGATTGGCCCTTGTTGACACCCAGGGCCCTGGCTGCAGGCATCTCCATGGCTTTGGCAGCCTCCACCAGTTCCTTGGGTTGTTATGCCCTGTGTGGCCAGCTGTTGCATTTGTCTCCTCCACCACCACATGCCTGCAGTCGAGGGCTGAGCCTGGAGGGGCTGGGCAGTGTGCTGGCAGGGCTGCTGGGGAGCCCCCTGGGCACTGCATCCAGCTTCCCTAACATAGGCACATTGAGCCTTTTCCAGGTACGTGGCTCTGAGACAGGACTGAGGGGACTGGAGGTACAGGGGCAGGAGCTCATGCTAAACAACTGTCAGCTGGGCCAGCTTTCAGTCAGACAGTTCACTGAGGGAGGTGACTGGAAGTGCTAAGTGCTATGAATGTAGAGAAACAGGAAATCGGTATGTCAGGTGCATCGGGACCTCTGCCAAGGCTCATTACAGTGAAGAATGAGTCAGAGAAAGTTCCCTGTTCTCTTGGGAACTTCATGAAAAAGGGAGACTTAGCATAAGTTGAGAGTAGTAAGCACTATCATGAAAGCAGTGGTGTATGGGCTTAGCAAAGAGGTACCTTTGGCTAGAGTGGCCGGGATGCTTAGAGAGGTCACATTTAAGCTGGGATACAAAGGATGAAAAGGAGTGGGCCAGGCAAAGATCTGGTATGGCCCAAGGAGATGGCTGTGTTTTCTGGTATCTCTTCTTCATGCAGACTGGTTCACGGCGAGTAGCCCACCTAGTGGGGCTGTTCTGCATGGGGCTTGGGTTCTCCCCAAGACTGGCTCAGCTATTCACCAGCATTCCACTGCCTGTGCTTGGTGAGTGAATAGATGTGAAGACAGGTGTTGGAATACCGTTTGGCCTAACCAGTTGTCTAGGCTGGTGCCATTTCTTTCTAAATAACTTCTCTAAATGGATATGGACACATGCTCTCATTTTCTTAGCCCAACTGAGTCTCTTGCAGAATCAGAAACAAGCCTGCTGGCTGTCTTTCCTCACTACAGCCTGCTTGCCCTACAAACCTGAGCTTTGCCCTCTTCCCATTGCCTTGTTTTCTTTTGTGTGGGGCAGGTGGGGTACTGGGAGTGACCCAGGCTGTCGTTCTGTCTGCTGGATTCTCCAGCTTCCACCTGGCTGACATCGACTCGGGGCGAAATGTCTTCATTGTGGGCTTCTCCATCTTTATGGCCTTGCTTCTGCCAAGGTGGCTCCGGGAAGCTCCAGTCTTGCTCAACACAGGTAGGTGGGGCAGAGAAGAAAAAAGGAATGGGGTTGAGGCTTTAGACCAGTGGTTCTCAACCTGTAGGTCATGACTCCTTTGAGGGTAGAAGGATTCTTTCATAGGGGTTGCCTAAGATCATCAGAGATCACGGGTATTTATAATTCACAACAGTAGCAAAAACTACAGTCATGAAGCAGCAGCAGCAAAAATGATTTTATGGTGGTGGTGGGAGGTCACCACAACATGCGGAGCTGTATTAAAGAGTCACAGCATCAGGAAAATTGTAATAATTGCTTTAGGCTCTCTGAATGCTTGGTCTCATAGTGGGATTTTGTTAGAACGCCATTTATTTATTTAACAAATATTCATTGAGTTCCTCTTTTTGTGCTTTTGTGTCCTGGTTTTATTTCTGTTGCTGTGTTAAAATACTGAGACCAAAGGCAACTTGGCAGGGAGGTTCATTCAGTTAACAATTCCAGGTCACACTCTATCACTGAGGAACGCAAGGCAGAATCTTGAAAGCAGGCCTGCTTGCTAATCTATACATATTATCTTCAAAGAAGGAACTCACTTCACAGCCAAAGAAGTGTAGCAGGATCATGGAGGATGCTGCCTTATGTTTAGCTAACTTTCTTACACACTTCATGACTACATGTCTTGACTACATGATGGGCCAGGTATTGTGGATTAATATGGATTGGGAAAAAACAGATAGGTTGAACAGATGTTTATTCAGTGAGAAATAACTTACAACAGAGACAGATGAACACCAGCAGGTTCCCATCCCAAGGATGCTTCCGGATGCTCTCTGTCTCTGTCCAACAGAGCAGTGGAGAGGGGGCTACCTCAGACCTAGTTCCCCCAGGTCATGTCTGCAGCTGTCGTCACCCTCAATGGGCGTGGTCAGTGCAACAGGTGCGGACAGAGTGAATATCTCACTACAGCCAGGCTCTACTAAATCTACCACCAATATAGACAATCCCCCATAGACTTCCTTACAAGCCAATGTGACCTAGGCAATTCCTCAGCTGGGACTCTCCTCTCAGATAACTCTAGGTGGTAACAAGTTGACAGTTAAAGCTAACAAGTTACAAAACTCCTCCCCTCAAACACATTTAAAAAAAAAAAACAAGCTAAATAGGTCAAAACACAAAAATACTTCTAGGTTGTACAGAATTATGAAAGAGGTGACTTGCTCCAGGACAAAACAAGAAAGGTTAAGTAAGATAAGAGCTGTGAGCAGGGCATGATGGATCATGCCTTTCTTTAATCTCAGCACTTGGGAAGTTGGTGGGATCTCTGAGTTTGAGGCCAGTAGTCTACACAGTGAGTTCCAGACCTGCCGGGGGTACATAGAGAGACCTTGACAAAAGCAAAAACAAATATACAGACCTGTGGTACTCAAGGACAAGAGTAGCTTCTTCCTAGGTGATTCAGTACAACTGAATGGGTCTTTGAGGATGGAAAAACTTAAATGGCAAAAGGCCATTTCTGTGTGTGAGAGGCAGGGTCTTATTTTGGAATGTAGGCTGGCTCCAAACTTTTGGCAATCCTGCTTAAGACTCCCAAGTGACAAGATTATATATATATAAGCCACATGGACAGCTGACAAGGTATTTTCTTATTTGTTTGTTTGTTTTTCAAGACAGGGTTTCTCTGTAGCTTTTGGAGCCTGTCCTGGATCTTGCTCTGTAGACCAGGTTGGCCTCTGCCTCCCGAGTGCTGGGATTAAAGGCATGTGCCACCACCATCCGGCTGATAAGGTCATTCTTGATCACCTTTCCATCATATACAAAGAGAAAAGCTGGGGTTATGGGGCAGAAGAAGTAGTATATCCTGAAATATGCAAACAGCATGGTTTATTTAGAGCAGTGGTGTTCAGAAGGCGGTGATTTTGTTTCATGTGGAACATTTGGAGACATGCTTTTGGGATGTCACACATGGAAGAAAGAGGATTGTATTTTGTATGTTTGCTTGTTTCGAGACAGGGTTTCTCTGTGTAACAGCATAGCCTGTCCTGGAACTCGATTTGTAGACTGGGCTGGCCTTGAACTCGCAGAGAGCCTCCTGCTTTTGCCTCCTGAGTGGTGGGATTAAAGGCATGCACCACCATGTCTGGAGAGAAAAAGGACTGTTACAGGCATTCAGAGAGGTTGTTAAGCATCCTTGTGTGCACTGAACAGCTCCTTATAACAGTTATCTGGTCCAAAGTGTTCGTAGGACTGAAGTTGGGAGGCTCGGGCTAGAGCACCAAAGGTCAAAAATGGTAGAGACTAGGGCTTTTTAATGCCAAATTTTCCATAGAAAGGGAGCCTGGGACAAAGGGTATCTGGAGAGTATGTCGGGGCTTAGAAAACACGGTGTTAAGAAGGAATCCTATGGGAAGGACCTGAAGATGGGAAATGGAGTTTATAGAAGAACATAAGTGACTTGGAATGATGGCTCATTGAAACTTGTCCTTGGTCCAAGACTTTGTTTAGGTCTACAAGGGAAGACACATTGCCTTGGACAGTATCAGTTACCTTCTTGCCTGGCCCCAACCCTTTGTAGGCTGGAGCCCCTTGGATATGTTCCTGCGTTCTTTGCTGGCAGAACCAATTTTTCTAGCTGGTCTTTTGGGCTTTCTTCTAGAAAACACCATTTCTGGTAAGTTGGAACCAGGTTCTAGGAGAGAGGCTGGGAAGCCATTACTCCCTGGCTTGGGCAGTGGCCAGACAGAGGGGCTACTCTTTTTACATATTTTTTTTTTGAGACAGAGTTTCTTTGTGTAACAGTCCTGGCTGTCCTGGAACTCCCTTTATAGACCTCGAACTGGTCTAGAACTCACTGAGATCCACCTGCTTCTGTCTCCCAAGTGCTGGGATGAAAGGCATGCACCACCATGCCTGGGTTACTTATTTTTTTTAGGCTTTATTTTTTTATTTTAAATTAAATATATATATATATATATATATATATATATATATATATATATACACATGTGTGTGTGTGTCTATGGGTATATCCACATGAATGTACATCCCCCCAGATGTGGAGCTAGAGGCAGTTGTAAGCCATCTGCTATTGATGCCTAGACTTGGAACTTGGGTCCTCTATAAAAACAGTACTAGCTCTTAACAGCTGAGCTATCCCTCCAGCCTGACCAATCCCTCTTTTGCAGGTACACGGATTGAGCGAGGCCTAAGTCAAGGACTGCCAACTTTTTTCACGGCCCAAGAAACGCAGAAGTCCAGAGAGAAGGCTGCTCAAGAATATGGGCTCCCATTACCCATCAACAACCTGTGTTCCTGCATCCCACAGCCTCTCCATTGCCTCTGCCCAATGCCTGAAGACCCTGAGGATGAGGAAGGAGGGCCCTCTCAAACAGGGGAGACAGCAGACTTGTTGTCTGACTCTGAGGAGTCATGCCGTACAGCTAACAGAGAAGGGTTTAGGTCCCAGTAATTAGTCAGGAGCACCATTTTTTCTTTATTAGTTTAGCAGTAACTCCCAGCTTGCAGGAGTCTTGCCTCCAAGGCAATACTTTCAGTGAGATAATGTATGTGGCCCAACTAGATGCGCCGTTTCCCAGTAGAACGGGCTGCCTTTCCTCCTCTTTATCAGGCTAACGTGTTCAGGGGCCATGGATTTAATAGGCGAATAAGTGAATAAATAGGATTCTTGCCTGTGAACTGTCAATGCCTCTTCGATGAAGTTTAGCATTCAAATATCGTATCGAGTGCTTCCCACGAGCAAGGTACTGCATCGGCAGATATGTGACAGGGACCGTGCCCTCTCCCTGCATTTAAGATTTAAATTCATAACTATAATGTGAAGCAGAAGATAGTCTATAATAAAGGTGACAATAATGATAAAGGGGCAAGGAGGAAGTAGGATTTTATGTGGACTGAAAAGGAATTAGGACAAGTGAGGTTTCGGGTCCCCGCCCACCACAGGTCTTGGCTCCGCCCCGTATCCCAAACCCCGCCTTCCCGAGTGTGTGTGTGTGTGTGTGTGTGTGTGTGTGTGTCTGTGGGGGGGGTGGCTTCTACTCTAGGCCTTTCAGTTTGCACACGAGGGCAGGCCCGCCGAGAGGAGGGTGGGAGCTTCCGCAGCCGTTGACGGTAGGTGGGATCGATTTCGAGTCGGCGCCGGGGTCTGGGGCCGGCCGCACGCCGGGAAGAGGAGTGGAACTTTCACGGTGACCCCTTAGCCGGGTGCTTTTTCCCAGAAGGGAGCGCGCGCAGCCCGGGCTGTGGGGCAGGCCTCCAGGAGTGGGCGGTCCTGCGCGTGCGCAGCCCGCCTTCGGCCTCCCTCTTCGCGGGTGTTGTGGGAGGGTCCGCTTTAGCTAGTCGGCGTTTTAGCCCTTGGGCTGAATTAGCTTTGTTACCCCTTTGGGGTCCTGAGCCGTCCCTGCGTGCAGCCGGTGCTGTAAAAATGAGACACGGGCGACAAAGGCCTTGCAGGAGTGGTAGCTGGGCGCCGTAGGCGTCCCCGAGGCGGCCTCTGGCTGCTGGGCCTACGGTTTGTCCTCTCTGGTGGCACAGGGCGTGGGCCTGCGCGATGGTCTGTAGGGCCTTGCTGCCCTCTGCAGGGTGTTGTAGGAACTACCCAGAGAACACACGGCCGAGTGACATACCTTCTTGCAACTTCACTTTCTCACTCTTAAAAAGACAATTAAACTGGTGAAATTGGTTAACGAAGACCAGCTTACGCCGGGGAAAGTAAAATCCAGAGGACTTAGATTCCTTCTCCATCCATGCTGGGGACGATCTCAGAGCCCAATCAATTCCACTAAGCTTTTTTTTTTTTTTTTTGAGAGTCTCTTGCTATGTTGGTCTCCAAATTAAGATCCTCCTGCCTCAGCCTCCTGTGTGCTAGGATTACAGGCGTGCCTCAACATGCCTGACTCGGTTATACTTACCTCGGTCAAGGCTGAGTTATAGGAGCAGCCAGCCTGGGTCAGATACAGAATACTTTGCACATTTTTATAGGGCCAGCTGTCCTTGGCCACATTAAACAGCTTCCTCCCATTCGGACAAAACATCAATTTGTGGGTTTTGACCTTCGAGACTTAAGGAAGGACAATAAATTCAATTTTGGTGACATGCCAGGATGTGCCTATAAGGGAAATTAGAGGGTTTGGCAACTTCATTTGTATTTCTGATCTTTTCCGATGTAAACTCTTGCCCAGAGAAAATTCTTTCATCATTCCAAGACCAGTCTTCCCTGTTGGAACAGCACATGATGGAAATACCCATCTCTGCACAGACGGTTTCAAGGCTGCTGCAAATAACCACCATCCGTGCAGTCACGTGTCACTGGAAATGGCCATGTTTTTGAGAACGGTGTTACTAAACAATTTCGTCACACGCAGCTATCACACGGTGCACATATTTGAACCAAGATGGCAGTAATGTCACTATGTTCTGTGATCTTTTTTTTTTTTTTTTTCTTAAGACAGGGTTTTTCTGTGTAATAGCTTTGTTTGGCGGTCCTGGAACTAGCTTTATAGACCAGGCTGGCCTTGAACTCACAGAGATCCTCCTGCCTCTGTCTCCGGAGTGCTGGGATTAAAGGCATGTGACACCACTGCCCAGCTAGGTTCTGTGATCTTAAAGGATCCCTGTCCTATATGCAGTCTTTCTGACTGTATACATTTATAGTCCACTTGTTAATTATAGTGCAGATTAAGAGAGGGTGCTTTGAAACCTAGGAAGACTTAGACTGAGTTGGAAATAATTGCTAATCAGATTTAAACAAATTTCATTATTTTCTTTGGAATCTAACTTTTCACCTCTTGGCACTTAATTTTATATTTATATATGAAAATAATAAAGAAATTATATGACTTTTTATCCCCACAGGAAAAATAACTCTGTCAGATTTAGTAACTACATACTTAACTAGGTTGAGGATACAGCATTTTTCTCAGGGACTTTATTTTTATTCACACTGACATTTTGCCTGCATGTATGTCTGTCTGTGCGAGGATGTCATACATTCACCTGGAGCTGGATTACAGACAGTTGTGAGCTACCATGTGGGTTGTTGGGAATTGAACCCAGGACCTCTGGTAGAGCAGTCAGTGCTCTTAACCACTGAGCCACCTTTCCAGCCCATCTCTTGTTCTTTTTAACCCTTGTGTGTGTGTCACTGTGTATCTACCATGTCATTGAAGCACTCTCATCACATTATTAATCTAATGTGATAATAATCACACAAATTTTCCATAATTGTGAAGGATTAACTTGAACAGACTCTGAGAAACAATTTCTGTTTCAGATAAGGAGGAATATGATCATAGAACATTACATATGTATGAAAATTGTCAGACAATAGTTAAATTAAAACTTCAAAATGAACCCATCTTAGATTTTTTTTTTTTTTTGTTGTTTTTGTTTTGTTTTGAGGGTTTCATGTAGTCCAGGCTGGCCTTGAACTCACTATGTAGGTTGAAATTTAGTTAATTTGGAGATTTTTTTTAAAAAATTCATTTATTTTTAAATTTCATTTATTCATTTCATATTCTCTTATCGGGGGTAAGGATGTGTGTACATGTGTGCATGTTCGAGTGTGTGTGTGTGTGTGTGTGTGTGTGTGTGTGAGCACACTGTGTATATAGAGGTCAGAGGTCAATCTTAGAGGTGACCCTCAGGCACTTCCTACTGTTTGTGTGAGAAAGAATCTCTCTCAGCCTAGAACTTTGGCAAATAGGCCTGGGTAGCTGCACACTTCTCTGCCTTTCTCAGCCTCTGATCTTGCAGGTGCTGGGTCTAGGTACATACCACTCCACCAGGCTTTATGTAGGTTCCGGTGATCTGAACCCAGATCCCTGTGAGTCAAGTGATGTACAAGTTGAGCCATTTCCCCAACCCAACATTGGTCCTCCTACCTGCTTCTCCCCAGTGCTGGGATGGTATACCTCACCAAGTGTGCTTTAGGATTTTATTGTTTGCTTCCAAACTTCCTGAGCTTTGTCGTTTTTAATATTAAATATTTAATATTAAAAAAATTATAGCATGGGTAGTGGCGGTGCTCGCCTTTAATCCCAGCATTTGGAAGGCAGATCTCTGAGTTCAAAGCCTGTTTGGTTTACAGAGTGAGTTCCAGGGCAGCAGGGCTACACAGAGCAAACCCTTGAAAAACAAAACAAAACAACTTATTGGTGCATATGAGGAGGATGATGTTTGGGAGATAATCTCTACCACATGAATCTTAAGCTTGGCACACATGCCTTTTCCTGTTGAGCCATTTCATCAATCCAGACTTTGCTTTTAGCAACCAAATAATTTGAATGTCCTTCCCCTCACATTTTGGACTTTTTTAGTTTTACTTATTTAGTTTTTTTTTTTTTTTTTTTTTTTTTTTTTGGAGACAGGGTTTCTCTGTGTAACCTTGGCTGTCCTAGAACCCACTTTGTAAACCAGGCTGGCCTCAAACTTGAAGATCTACCTGCCTCTGCCTCCCAGGATAATTAAAGGCATGCACCACCACTACCCCAGCAATTCTTTTCAAGACAAGAACCATTCTTATCCTTTTAAAATTTCTGAGAAAGACAGCATCGATCTATATAGGATTCAAGTAAAGATTCAATAGGATTGGCTTGGGTTTCCATATTATATTAAGTGCATCAATATGCTGAGTTTAAACACTATGGAAAAATATATCTGCCCTTTCATATTTTGTTCCCTCTTTCCTTCATCCCTTCTTCCTTTTACACCAAGGTGAGTCTATTTCATGTATCAACAGCTGCCCTGGGCATCCTGAACCCCCGCTTTTATATCTCAATTCTGGGATTACAGGCATGCACCACAATACCCGGTAAAGACATGTTTTCTATTCTTTAGGAACTTATTGTAAGAAATATTCTGATCTTTAAGAAATATTTTACTAATTTTTTATTCTATGTGTATGAGTGTTTTTTCCTGCATGTATGCAGATACTACATGTGCAGTACTTGAAGAGGCCAGAAGAGGGCATTGGATCTCCTGGAACTGGAGTTATAGATGGTTGTGAACTGCCATGTGGGTGCTGGGAATTCAACCCCAGTCCTCTGGAAAAGCAATCAGTGCTCTTAACCTCTGTGCCATCTCTCCAGCCCCAGATTCTAAGTAAATTTTAAGTCAGTTGTCAAGGGGTAGTTAGGCTGGCTGTATAAAGTGTGTGTGTGTGTGTGTGTGTGTGTGTGTGTGTGGTGTGTTGGCGGGGTGCTTTCATGCCTCTGTTTTACTGGGGAATGTTTTCACACGGTTTCAGTTGACGTGGAACTGTGAGCAGTCCTCCCTGGCTGGACTTCCCGGAGGCACTGTGCTAAATCAGGACTTCCCCACAGATGGAAGAACTAGAGCGAGGCCTGTTGATGCAGCCATGGGTGTGGCTGCAGCTTGCTGAGAACTCACTCTTGGCCAAGGCATCTATCACCAAGCAGGGTTATGCCTTGCTGATTTCGGATCTTCAGCAGGTGTGGCATGAACAGGCGGACACTTTAGTGGTCAGCCAGCGAGCCAAGGTAAGAGTATAAAAGTACGAAGAGAGGCTATCACTGTCGCATTATACTGGCCATAGGACATTAACATCCATCAGCTTGTCTATCTATATGTTGTCGAGGAAGGCTGAATTGGTTTGAAGCAATTAATAGGCTTAACATCTCTATCCTAAGGATGCAAAATCTGAAATGCTCTAAAATATGAAAGTTTTCACATCCTCAATGCTCAAGACTCAAAAAGTTTTAGATTTCAGATCATTTCAGATTTTGGATTTTGGGACTAGAGTTGTACATCTGGTGAAAAGTTACACATATATTCAAAAATCCAAGAAATTCGGAAATCTGAAACATTTCTAGAGAGAGAGACAGAGAGAGGGGAGAAAGAGAAAGAGACTGATTTTGCTTGAACAATAATGCATACTGTCATCTGTATTATATGATGTATACAGGCCCTCAGTAAATTGATTTTTCCCAGAACTGTGGAGTAGGCTAGTTGATCTTTGCAACTCTTCTTCTTGTCTCCATTTTGCTGCAAGGCTGTGTACCCTTTGCCTTCCCTTCCTCTCCTGCCCCTTGTCTTCCGGGATTCCCCTTTGCTCTTGCCTTTGAGGAGTTTCCTTTTAATGGCCTCACTCTGTTTCTCTAGGAGTTGAACAAGCGCCTAACTGCTCCCCCCTCAGCTTTTCTCCACCACCTGGAGGAGCTGCTTCTACCATTGTTTAAGGATTCTGCTCACCAGGATGCTGCTGATCCTAGCCACGCTACCTTCTCCTGTGATCGCACAGCGGAGGCACTGATTCTTCGGGTGCAGAGTGAGCTGTCTGGTCTTCCCTTCAACTGGCAGTTCCACTGTACCCCAGCTAGCTCTTCACTGGTGAGTGCAATGTAGACATGGGTGCAGGTAAAGATCTGGGTGCCCTTATGTTGCCTGAAATTCTTTTTTTTTTTTTTTTTTTTTTTTTTTTTGTTCAAAACAGGGTTTCTCTGTGTAGCCTTGGTTGTCCTGGAATTTACTCTGTGGACCAGGCTGGCCCTGAACTCACAGAGATCTGCCTGCCTCCCCCCCCCCCCATCTCCCTAGTGCTGGGATTAAAGACAGGCACCACAACTGCCTGGCTGAAACTCTTTTCTAAGAAAAAGAAATTTCCTTGACTAGACCAGAGGCTATGAGGATTTTTGGCTGGTATAGCCTTGTCTTGCAAAAGGAGCAGGGTTTGGATCTTCACATTGTATTTCACGACTTCATTCAATATTATTATTTTAATGCCAGGGTCTCATGTATGCTAGGCTATTCTAGGATGACCTCATTCTTTCACCTGAGTGTTACAGATACACCGACATGCTCAGTTTATGCAGTACTGAGGGGCTGAACCCAGGGCTTGCTGCGTTTGGTTTGTTTTCTTTCTTCCTTTCTCTCTCTCTCTCTCTTTCTTCCTTTCTTTCTAGGGTCTTACTTTAGCTCTGGCTGGCCTGGAACGCACAGAAATCTGCCTGTTTATGCATGATACCATGTCCACTTTTCTTGATTTTTTTTTTTTGAGTTTTTTTTATTATGCAGCCTTAGCTGACCTGAAATCACTGTATAAACCAGGTTTGCTTTGAACTTGAAGCAGTCCTCCTGCCTCAGCTTCCAAATGCTGGGATTCACCATACATGGCTTACAGCAGAGTTTTTTTTTTTTTGTTTTGTTTTGTTTTTTTTTAATATTTTCAAGTTGTGATTTATCAAGACCACTTTGATAACAGAGTAGAGTGCTTTCTAAGCATTTTCTCCCCTTTTTGTCTTTATGATTTTCTTACAAGACAGATATTATTTTCATTTTTTTTCAGAACAGAAAACCAAGATTGAAAGTAACTTGTTCAAAGCCATCCATCCTATTCATAACTGAGCTAGAATTTGAACTCTGTGTTAGTCTAGTCAACTTCAAAGCCCTCTTTTACAGACTAGGTAGGTCATGCCTTCCTCTTGCTTGTAGCTTTCGTTCCCCAAGAACTGTTATTAATAATAATTGGGCAGTGGTGGCACACACCTTTAATCGTAGTACTTGGGAGGCAGAGGCAGGTGAATCTGTGAGTTTGAGGCCAGTCTGGTCTATAGAGTGAGTTCCAGGACAACTAGGGCAGTTACACAGAGAAGCCCTGTCTTGAAAAACAAAAAAGACCATTAGTAATTAATAATAAATGTAAGAGCAAGTTTTCAGCTGGGTGTGGTGGTACATGCCTTTAATCCAAGTTTGAGACCTGCCTATCCATATAGCAAATTCCAGAACAGCCAGAGCTACATATTAGAGAGATCCTGTCTCAAAAACCAAACAAAGACAAAATTTCAAAGCTGGATATGATTGTATATGTTTGTAATCAGCGCTAGGGAGATAGAGGCAGGAGGATCATGAGTTCAAGGCCATCCTCAGCTACATAGTGAGTCTGAGTATAGCATGGGCTACATAATACTCTGTCTCAAAACCAACCAACTGCTGGGCATGGTGAAAACCTTTATTTCCAAGCCTCTGGAGGCAGAGGCAGGTGGGTCTCTGTGAGTTTGAGGTGATCCTGGTAAACATAGAGAGTTCCAGGACAGCCCGGGCTGTTACATGGAAAAAAAACAAAGCAACAACAACAATAACAACAAAAAACCTGACTTTGGATTTAGTATATCTGGTTTGAATCCCATCTTCATCTCTTTGAGGATTTGAGATAGTCTATAAGGCTTAAACTAGAATTCTTCCAGATATCCACTGATGGGAATATACAATGACACAGATAATGTCTTAGGGCTTCTATTGCTGTGAAGAGACACTATGACCACAGCAATGCTTACAAAGGAAAACATTTAGTTGGGCTGGCTCATAGTTCAGAGGTTTAGTTCATTATCATCATGGTGGGACATGGCAGCATGTAGGCAGACATGGTGCTGGAGAAGGAGCTGAGAATTCTACATATTGATTCCAATGCAACAGGAAGTGAATTGAACTACTGGGAGTGGCTTGAGCATCTATGAGACCTCAAAGCCCACCCCACAGTGACATACTTCCTTCAACAAAGCCACACCTCCCTGTGAGTTTATAGGGGCAAATTACCCTCAAACTACCATAGGCAGTTTGGAGAATGATGCATGTGTGTGTGTGTGTGTGTGCCAGGTACATGTGCAAGTGGTTAGATTGTATGTAGAGGTCAAATGTCAAATTTAGATGTCTCCTCCCACCATTTTTCCCCCCAAGACAAGGTGTCTTAGTTTGGGTTTCTATGCTGTGAAGAGATACCATGACACAGTAACTCTTGTAAAGGAAAAAACATTTGATTGGGGTATCTTACATTTTCAGAGGTTCAGTTCATTGTCATTATCATAAGACATGGTGGCATGTAGGCAGACATGGTTCTGGTTACCTCTTGATCATAAGGCAACAAGAAGTGATCTGGGACACTGGGAGGCATCGTGGGCGTATATGAGACCTCAAAGCCTCCCTCCGCAGTGAAACACTTCCTCCAACAAGGCCACACCCACGCCAGCAAAGCTGCCCCTCCTGACAGCGCCACTCCCTTGGGGGCCATTTTCTTTCGAACCATCGCGCAGGGTTTCTCTATGTGGCTCTGGCTATGCCGGAACTCACTAAAGACATGTGTCACCACTGCCCAGCTTCAGGTGTCTTCCTTAATCACTTCTCTACCTGGCCCTGGAACTTACTGCTTTGGTTAGATTGGCTGGCCAGTCATCCCCAGAAACCATCCTGTCTGCCTCTGAGGTATGGGATAACAGATGCTTACCACTTTTTGTTTGTTTTTGGTTTTTCGGGTCTCTCTATGTAGCCCAGCTATCCCGGAACTCGATCTGTAGACCAGACTGGCCTCGAACTGCTCACTATTTGTATGTGGGTGCTGGGGCTTCAAACTCAGGTCCTCATGACTATATGACTAGCACTTTACTGACTTGAGCAATCTCTCCTGTCTCTACCTTTTTTTTTTTTTTTTTTTTTTTTTTTTTTAATGAAACAAGGTCATGCATATACCAGGATTTTCTTTTCTTTTTAAATCTTAAGATTTCTTTCTTTTTTATGTAAAAAGTAACCTTTATTTTTAACTATAGAAAAATATTTTTTTCTTTTGGTAGTAAAGCTTTTCTTTCTTTCTTTCTTTTTTTAAACATACTAATCCCAATTCCCTTTCTCTCCACTCCTCCCCCTCTCTCACCTTCTCCTTACCTCACCCCTGTTTTTGCTCCTCAGAGAGGGTAAGGCCTCCCATGGGGAGTCAACAAGTCTGTCCCATCACCACATCGAGGCAGAACCAGCCCCTCCCCTCTGTGTCTAGGCTGAACAAGGTATCTCTCCATAGGAAATGGACTCTGAAAAGCCAATTCATGCACTTGGGATAGGTCCCGGTCCCACTGCCAGTGGCCCAACAAACTGCCCAAGCCACCCTCTATCGCCTGCATTCACCGGGTCTAGTTCAGTCCTATGTAGGTTTCCCAGCTGTCAGTCCTGACTCAGTGAGCTCCCACTAGCTTGGGCCAGCTGTTTCTGTGGGTTTCCCCACGATTTATTTATTTATTTATTTATTTATTTATTTATTTATTTATTATTTAGTATTCATTGTTCTGCCTGCATATATGCCTGCATGCCAAAAGATGGTACCAGATCTCATTATATAGATGGTTGTGAGCTACCATATGGATGCTGGGAATTGAACTCAGGACCTCTGGAAGAGGAGGCAGTGGTTTTAAGTTCTGAGCTATCTCTCCAGTCACCAACTTTTGTTTTTAAGTTGAATATATCCTACTTAATCCAGCCATTTGATTCCTAGATATTTACTTCAGAGTGATGAAAATACATGTCTACCCAGGCATAGTGGTACACGCCTTTAATCCCAGTATTCTGGAGGCAGAGGCAAGAAAAGAACCTTGAGTTTGAGGACTGCTTAGGCTAAACAGTGAGTTCTAGCTGGCTAGATCCTCACAGTAAGGCCCAGTATCACAAACAAGAAACAACTCTCTCAACGTCCCTTCTCCACATAGAGCCGCGCAAAGATTTCTTCGCAAGTGTTCACTGTGGCTTTTTGTTTTTATTTTATTTTATGTGTATGTGTTTGGCCTGCATATACATCTGTGTACTGCAAGTGTGTCTGATACCTGTAGAGGTCAGAAGAAGGGATCAACCCTCCTGGAAATGGAGTAGCAGATAGTTGTGAGCTGCCATGTGGGTGCTGGGAATTGAGTGAACCCAGGTCCTCTGAAAGGGCATCAAGTGTTCTTAACTGCTGATATATCTCTCTAGCCCTGGTGTCTTTGTTTGTGCCCAAGCCAGAGATAACCCAAGATATTAATGGTTAAACAAATGATGGTTATATATATATATATATATATATATATATATATATATATGTTTTAAGAATCAATAAATGGTGCTTGTTGTATTCAGTAGCACTCAGTGATCATAGTGTTCTGTGAGAGGCATAGGGTGCAGATTATCCAGCAGACCAATCTGCAAAGGCATCGTTCTCTAGCTCCCAATTCAAGGTATAGTCTACTTGAAGGTGTACTTGTGATAGTTTGGCAGCAATAAATGAATGTAGATGGAGCTGGGGGGGGGGTGGTACACACCTTTAATCCCAGCTCTTGGGAGGCAGAGGCAGGTGGATCTCTGTGTTTAAGGACAGCCTGGTCTACAGTGTGAATTCCAGGACAGCTAGAGCTATATGGAGTACCCCTGTCTTGAAAAACAAAACAAAAACAAAACAACGGGGGGGGGGGGTGGAAAAATGGAACAAAGAACTTCTTTACTTTTAAAGATTTTAATTTTTATTTATGTGTATTTCTGTGATTGGATTCATGTACTTGAGAGGCCAGAAGATCTCTTGGACCTGGAGTTACAGTGTTTGTTGG